TTAAAAAGGGCCACAATCTCATGAACATTATTATGTACAGTCAGTAGATTGGAAGGTGTGGAGAATAATCATTTTTTATCTCATTGTGCTGTTGGTTCCCAGAAAATAACGTATAGCATTATTGTGGTAGAGGGTGTGTAAATCCATTTGAAGTAAATGGAGATTCTCAGACTGTATTTTGCTTCATGTATTTCCAAGCAGAATGGCTCTGACTTGGAATGGACCAAAACTCAGACAGGGGCAACATAGTGACACTTTTACAGGAATAAAGTCTGCAACTCTAGTTTCATGGCTACAAGTAGATTTGAATCCACTCCTGTAGGACATACAAGATACCTCTTTAGTGGCTTCTAACCACGGGTTTAACTTGCTGTCTGACACTGCGCTGAGCCACACTCACGAGGCAGTTCTGTTTGCATTATTAACTTGAAACAAGAAACGGTACCACCAGAAGCCCGTGTTTCATCTTATTATTTAGCACATTATGGTTAAAATTCTGTGGCAGTCATTATTTATTTAGCAGTTTTTACTTTCAGCGTACTTTGCAGCTGTTAATTACTTAACACAAACAGCAGTATGAGCGGCCCGATTTTCTACAGCTGGAGAGCCTAGTGAAGCCATTAAGCTCTGCCCAGGGTTCATTTCCCTTGCTCTTGACCTTTTCCACTGTTGCTTAATTCGCTAGACTCCACAGCTTCCTGATTCTTGAAAAATGGTGATGAGAAATATTTCATGCATATTTAATATTTTTGACAGTATATCTTTTTTGCTGATCTCAAGATACAAATTTTTAGTTTTACAGGGGAAAAAAAGCTCATGTCTGCCTTTATTTTTTGCAGTTTTTTAGCTAGTAATGAAATCTAGGGAACAAAAAAGGAAATCACAAAATAGATTGCCCATTTTTTCTAGACCTTATACGTATTTTTCAAAGCACTTTAAACAATATGTTTAATATTTTCTACTGACTGTTTTACTCTATTGAGTATTATTTGAAATTTTTGGTCAGAATTATGCATCTCTTTCATCACTTTAAAACATTTTCCATGGGAATGGGGGAGACGGCTCAATTGGTAAGGTGTTTGCTGCATAAGCATGAGGATTTGAGCTTGGATCCCCAGTACTTATAGTAACCAGCTGGTGCAGACCCAGCACGGATGAGGCAGAAACAGGTGGATACAGGAGCTCACTGGCCAGTCGGCCTAACTGTGAGCTCTAGATTCATGGAGATTTTGTCTCAAAAAACAAGGTAGAGAGTGACTAAGGAAGTTATCCAAGGTTGTCCTCCGACCTCTGTTTGAAGGTATATGTACCTTCAAACACACACACACACACACACACACACACATAGATAGATATAGATAGGTAGGTAGATAGATGATAGATATAGATAGATAGATAGATGATTGATAGATTGATAGATAGCTAGATGATAGATCATAGAGCTAATAGAAGATAGATAATAGATGATAGATGATAGATAGATAGATGATAGATAGATAGATAATACATAGATACATACATACATACATACATACATACATACAAAATTCCAGACTGCCTTCTTGGGTTTGGTTGAATTTTATTGTTTTGTTTTGTTTGAACTTTGGCCCTTAGCAATCATTTACCTTATAAAGTGACAATTTAATGGCACCAATCTCTTGCTACTTTATAATTTTGTCTATACATAAGCTTTCCTTTCCTCAGTCCTGGGAGTAAAATGGTAGAGATTCATTATGGTTCCTTTGTGACTGTTAAATTACTTTATGGGACAATGGTTATTTTGATTATAGGCCATTTATTTGACACTTAAAATTTATAAAGTACTTTATAACAATTTTATTAGTTATTTTAATGCTTTAAATTGGCTTGAAGTCTTTTCGGTGCATGGTTGATCGACCGCTTTTAGGTAATTAAAATGATCATTTCTGGTTAATATTTGACTCCTCAAAGTTATACCATTCTTTAGGTCTCTGTAAAGGTTCTGTTGTTGAAAGGAAAGCAATGAATAAAGTATGTGATGTTAATGTGATATTATTTTAGGTGTACTGATAAAGAATTTTAAGCTCATTCACAAACCACTGATTGGAAGAGCAGCGTTTGATAGCAGGTGTTAGTGTCTGGAAGCAGATGCTACAGTGATTTCTTTTCTCAGAATTCTAATGTAGGTAAAGTCATCACATTCTCCACAGTGCAGTACTTCCCATTTGAATGGCTCTAGCTTTGTAGTGACACAAGCCGGGTCACACCCCTGCAGTCCTGCCCTCTCACAAACCGATAAACCTCACCTTCATCCCAGATCTCTCTTGTGGGACAGATAATGGCCAGAGTGTCTGTCTCACTTGTTCCCACAACTCTTTAGCCCCCAGGTGGAGTCCTGTCTTTGCATTGCCTTCCTGTGCTCCTCTTGTGTCCACTTTCCTAGAATTCTTTCGTTTGGCTACTTTACCAAGTACTGATTGGGAATCCCTTACCCAAAATGCTTGAGACCCCAAGAGTTTCGGAGTTTTGAAGATTTGCATGTACATTATTACATCTTGGGGATGGGATCCAAACAATTTAAACATGAAATTCACTTACAGCTCATCACACACACACACACACACACACACACACACACACACACACACGTACATGTGATCAGAAGGTGTTTTTACATACTATTTTTCATATGATATGCACAAAACAAAATTTTATTGTGAGAACTTTCTACTTGAGGTATCATAGCACCAGTCAAAAAGTTTCAGGTTTTGGATCATTTTCATTTCAGATTTGGGGACTAGGGATGCTCTGCCTGTTCGTATGTACACAGAACCTTATTTCACATTTAAAAGGAGACCTGGTGGAATTCCAACTTGCATTTGCAGTGGTTAATGCAGTGGATCGTCAGGAACCTTGGATAGCTTTGCTTTGTATCCATAGTTCCAGGTTAGAAAGATTTGAATTAAAGAAATTATTGCACCTTTGGAATATTGTAGAAAAATAAATACAATGTCAAGGTTATGTATGCTTTTGACTAGCTCCTTAGAAGTGCCCAGGCATGTGGTAGTAAGCTCATTCATATTTCTGTGGAGCTACTGCCAGCATCCGGCTCCAGAACTTTCTTATCTTGCAACAATGGAAACCTTGTACCCATTTACCCGTCCCTCTCTTTCACCCCAGTTCTTGGCAGCTGCTGTTCTACTTCCTATCTCTAGGAATTTGTCCCTGGGTTCCCCAATGGGTTGAGTCATACAGTGTTTATCTGGCAGTAGTTTTATGTAGTATTTGGTGATAATAATGCCTTTTATGTTTATATGCTCTTTTTAATATAATAATTTGCCACCTTATCTTTTTCCTTCTGCACGCGTGCGTGTGCGTGTGTGTGTGTGTGTGTGCGTGTGCGTGTGTGTGTCTGTGTGTGTGACCAGACGTTAATGTCATGTATCTTTCTTAGTTCCTCTCCACCTTGTATGTTGAGGCTGTGAGTGTCCCTCACTGGAATCCAGACCTCCCTGATTCAGCTGCTGTAGCTAGCCAGCCTGCCCAGGGGTTCCGTATCCACTTTCAACCGACTGGGATTACAGACAGGCCGCAGTGCCCACCCAGCATTTATGTGACCGCTGGAGATCCAAACTCTGGTTCCCACACTTCTGTGGCAAGTGCTTTACCAGCCCCACCTGATCTCTGTGATCCTCACAAACGTGGCTGCTTCATCAACAAGATTAAATTGTGGGAGCCTCACAGTTTGTTCTAGGGTAAAGAATTAGTCGGCAGAGTAGCCACTCCTCCCTGACTAGGCAGACGCCATGCCTCTGGTTTTCTTTCTCTGTAGCTTCTTTTCTTTCATAAAGCCATAGGTTACCAGTCTTAGTACAAGAAATATGCATATCTTGACAGTCATCTGAACTATAAATATAAACTCAAGGAAAAAAAAACAAACCTGTGTTCCTTCCGGGATTTATGCACACCAGTATTACATGCAACAGAAAGAACAACATACTTATTAGTGACTAAGCCATTACTTCTCAAACCTCATGGATGTGTGAGTCACCTGGGATGCTTGTGAAGATTACATGATGATTAAGTGTGGGCGGAGCCAGAGTAGCTTCCT